GTTTTAAAGGAAGAAGCCTGATGCTGTTGTCTTTTGGGTGGCTACTTCTCGAGACGGAAGAGCTATGGACGGACACCTCTGCTCTGGCACTGTACTAGTTGGGTAGCTTGGCCACATCCCCTCATCCAGTGGATTTGGATCTCTTCTTCTTTGGGCTGCTTCCGCATTATTTCCATTTGCTCGTGGTACGGATAGAGAGTATTTGAATTGTTCAGGAAGAACTCTTCCTGTAATTTACCTAAGGTTCTAGTCTGTGGCTGAGGGAGAGAGAGAGAGAGAGAGAGAGAGAGAGAGAGAGAGAGAGAGAGAGAGCGCAAAGGCACAAAGATTTGAAAGAAGCAATATTATTTTTATTTGCAGTTGGTATACTATCCTAGGGAAGCTACAAAATAAAAGGACAACAGAAGTATTAAGTTTTTCAAGGTCTTATGATACAGGGTCAATATAAAAATTCAGTTGTACTTCTGTGTATCAACAACAAACCATTGGAAATTGTAAAAGTAAAAAAATATAACTTACAATAACATAAATGTGAAATAACTAGGGATAATTTTAACAAAAATGTGCAAGAACTGTTCACTCAAAATACAATATATTACTGAGTGAAAAATTGAAAAACCTAAGTAAATGAGAGATATACTATGCTCATGGATCAGACAACTCAATATTTATAATATCAATTGTCCCCAAAACCTATTTATAGAGCTATTGCTGTCTATTAAAAAACCCTGACAAACTGTTTTGTGGAAAACTGACATGCTTATTCTAAAAGTTATTTAGAAAAGCAATTAACACCGACATAGCTGAAACAGTTTGACATAAGTAAACAGCAATTCCTAAGATTGCTCTAGATACAGAAAAATGAAGATGCTGTGCTGTGCAGTAAGGACAGACATGATCCACAGGAGCCCACACACCAGCCAGCTCCTCCAGGCTTTACAGAGGGACTGATGGAGATGGGAAAGGCGGGGATGCTGAGCAAACTGGGTTACCCAGAGTGAAAGAGAACATGAACCTCAACCCAAAGCTGCCACACACACACTAAGATAACTTAAAAGAAAGCAATCATAGACCTAAATGAGCTAAATTTATAAAGTTTATAGAGGAAAACATGGAGAAAGTACGTGTAACTCTGAGTTAAACAAAGATTTAATAGATAGTACCCAAAAAAAGAAAAAGGAAAAAAGTAGTTAAATTTGATTTCAGTAAAATTAAAGCTTTTGCTCTTGAAAAAAATAATTTAATCAGTGCTCTGAATGGGGAAATAATGAGTTGTATGTAAGTATGAATGAGAACAGATTTTTAAAAAGAAAAAACAGTTCAAAAAAAAAAAAAATAAGGGATAACCCACAGAATGGATAAACAGTACTTTATCTAGAAACAGCAACTAAGCATAATAAGATGCCGTTATAGCTAACTGAGAAGTAATGGGGGAAGCATGGCCACCTATTGGCTTAACTAACACAATGACAAACAGGACTTGGAGCCACCGCAGCTCACGTGTTGGTGGGATGTGGATGGTGAAGTCCCTTCACAGAAGAACTTGGAGACTTCTTAGGAAAATGAACAAGTGCTGACATGTGACCTGGAGCTTCCGATTGCCTCGGGGAAAAGGAGATGCTTGTCCATGTGAAGACGCGTATTTGGCAGTAACCGGCGGTGTACTCCCAATCCCCCAGTGTGAATGTCAGCACGCTATGCCAGCTAAAGCAAGCTGACACAAGAGGACAGACGAGGGACCTCTGGAGAAGAAACGCTAACCTTCAGGGCTAGCCACAGTTGTGTGGCTGTTGGAACAGGAAGGGCACAAAGGGATCAGCTTGGGGTGATGTAAGCACTCTGCTACCACAGTTGTCAAACGTGGGGACGTGCGCACGCACATGTGTGCAGAGCTGTACACTTAAAGTGAATTCCACTTCACATATGTACGGCTTCATCATATGCATATTCACTTAAATGGAAAAAAAACCAAACCATTTATAACCAACCCCATTTAAATGAAAACAAACATTTATAAACAATATTTGGGAATCTGGGTGTCGCTCCTCTAAAGATATTAATCCCTTTGAAACTTCCTCTGTAGGAGACTAAAGGTAAAATGGCTACATGATGCCGGGCAAGTTATCACTCCGAACAAACGTTTCCCGTCACGAACAAAATGAGTAATGAATTAGATGGCTTCACTTACTCACTTGTAAACACTCGTTAAGCCTTTAATGGGGTAAGGATGATGTGATGCTCACCATAGAGACGTAAAGCTGAAATGGGACCATTTCTGCCCTCGAGGGGTTACCATGAAGCAGACAAGCTAAGACTGGCACAACTTGGGCTGCTTTGGGGTGTGAGGAGCGGTTTTCCTGATGCAGCAGCACCCGAGTTAGGTTCTGAGGTACAGGCTGTGGTTAGGTAAGAAGAAAGAAGGCGTTCGAAGCAAGGGAGCTATATGACAAAAGGTCAAAGGTCAAAGACCCTGGTTAGGTACCTCAGGTAGGCATGGCGCGCAGGCTTTGCCTTATAAGACCGTAGAGTGTCCTCTTGCCTGAGGGAAGTTTAGAAATTCTATACCAGTTTGTACAGTGTGTGCATGGGGCTCTACACTTGCTGGGTCTCAAACCTCATAGGAAAGTAAGCATAGAAGTTAGGACCCTTCCTGTTGCAAAGGGAAATCCTCGGGGTTACAAACAAAAGGGTTCAGTGGAAGCCTACTGGGGCAAGTTCTGAGGACCCACAACGACCATGAGCAGCTTTTCTTTCTCTTCATGGGACACCAGGACACCAGGTCTGGATTACTGCCTTTCTTTCTCACACTCAGTTCCCCTGAAAGGTTAAACCAGAGTCTTCTAAGCAAGCATCGCCGACTTTCACTGGTCACAAACTTTGAGTTGATTCCAAAGTCATCCATTCCATGACCAATGGGATGGCACATGAAACTGCTTGGTCAATCCAGAGAACTCAGTGTCACGTGAAGTACACCGGAAGAGGCCAACGGCAAGTAGAACTCACAGCCTCCGTGAAAGAGGGGAGACTAGACACCTGCGTTTAAAAAAAACACATCCCAACTATTTTGGAATGACTGAGAAAGTGCAAACACATGGAGATAAACTCTTCTTGTGACCTGGACAGCTAGGAAGTTAATGGCAGTTGCCTTAAGAACCCATTATTACAAGCACGACACGAGGGATAACGAATGTTTAGGATCTGGCATATCTTGGCCACAGAAGAGCCTTTTATGAGTGAGACCTTGACTATGTGGGTCCCTTTTACAGAGATAAAATGAACAGAGCAGCCAGAACAGGTTGAAGATCGCCTTGCATTTTCTGATGGGAATGGCTCATTGTGGAGCAAGCAAATGGAAAGGCCAGGGAATGAACAATCATTCCTGCTTTGCTAATGAGTGTGGACTTGATCTTTTAAGTGACAGGGCATCAAACTTCATAAGCATAGAGATAACCCAAACTGATCAGCATTTAGAGAACTATAGAAATAGATTAGAGGCCTCTTGAGATAAAAAGGAAGAAATCAAGTATGGAGATCAAGATAAGATTTGGACTAGAGGGCAGAGACAGTACAGGGTTGTTAGTGTCTCTGTTCCCTGTGGAGTGGGAGGAGGGTCCAGGCTGATCAAGAAGAACTAGGTAGCTAAGTCATGCACTGCAGTTAGCCAGGAAACTGCAGTATCAAAGCACCCTGATCCAAAGATGGTCAGACAGGCTCTTCCAGACACAAAGCCACAGTGCATCTTAGTGGACTGAGTTCACAAGAACCAAACACAACTTGCCTGTGAAGCTGCTCAACTCTGTGTCCATGACCATTAGCGCTGCACCAATAGTCTACCAGACTCCTGTGGTCACTGGAAAGGGGGTGTCAGTGGTTAATCGGAGGTGGCCCAGGAGAATGCCCGCGGAAGGAAGCCAAGTGAGGCAGTAGGAGGAGGACTAGTTGGGGGTGGAGTGGGAGGATGGCCTGATTGCTCTCCTTGTAGTGCTTACAGCAGATTGGGGTTTGCCACTGTGGAAAAGTTGGAAGTTGTCTACCAGCTTTGTCCTGGGACTAAGATTCATGTCTCAGTAGACACAGCCTCAAGCTGGCAGGAAATATAGCACCCGTGCCAATGAAGTGGGACATTCTTCACGTTACCTTCCAGCAGCTGACCTTAAATTGTCGCATAAAAATTAACAACACCATTAATTGATGTTTTACATTTAAAAATCACGTTCAAATATATTTTCTCATGTGGTCCTACACAAGCTTGAAGGCAAAAACAGCAGAAACAATAATTTGTTACCATCTGTCCAGTCTCCCTTTCCATTGTCAACAACAGAGATCTACTAATTCAGGAACTTGCATCAAGAGCAGACGTTAAAATCAAGTATATCAGACAACTACAATGGCTCAGTAAGTTTATAGTTTTCTTTAAAAAGATGAGCATGTCTGTATACAGCTACTAGTCATCTAAACACAACTGCTTCCTAATATTTTTGTCACTGAAGTTAAAGAGAGGGGACACTAGCCCTGGAATCATGCTTGTCCCCTCCATGGAGGTGTATCTGGACGTGCACAATGGCAAAGCATGTGACATGAATGTGTCACTCTCAAAGACAATAATGTGGGGGTTTATTAAGAATCAATTGCCAGGTTGTGGTGGTGCACACCTTTAAGCCCAGGACTTGGGAGGCAGATCTCTGTGAGTTTAAGGTCAACCTGGTTTACTGGGTGAGTTCTAGGAAAGCCAGGACTGTTTCACAGAGAAACCCTATCGTAACCACCCCCCAAAAAGAACCAATCACAGAATAAATAGTTTAGTCTTCAGTAAGTCAGCAAGTACCTGAGGCATAAGAGCATTTAGAATTTTTAGTAAATTCTTCATATCTAATTTCACCACACTTGAAGTATTATGTTGAACTTCACACTCTTCCTAATATATGGTCTGAAAATGATACCTTTGTAAGTTACATTTGGTAAGACTTAATAAATTTTCAGATAAGGACAGTATCGATCTATTGATTTATTTGAGTTTTATTTGAGTGATCAGCATCTTCAATTTTCATCTAAAATCAGAAGACAATGGTTTTTCACACACTACTATTTCATATACTGATATATCATTAAAGCACTATACGAGCAAACCTCTTGCTCATTTAAACACTCATCAAGACCTGATGCCTTGAACAATGGCTTCAGTTCTAGAATGGATGAACACTTGTGCTGTCTCTGAGCTCTTCTGCTCCAGAAGTCAGTGTGGAAGGGCTGAGCTTCAGCAAAGCCCAAGTGGTTTGACTCCTCCTCCTTGGATTCTTCCAAGGGAACAGAGCCAGGCTTCTACACAGGAGGGGGGGAAGTGTGAAGGACGTCCTCTATACACTTCTCACTTCCAGAGTGAGGAGTAAAATGTCATGAGATGGAGGCAGGCGGGACTGCCTCTGCTATGCCTGGGTTATATAAAGCTGTCTCGAACAAACAAACAAACAAAAATAGGGGATGGAGATATCTGCATAACTTTTTCAGATAGAGATGTTTAATGGAGAAAGAAAACGGAAGGGATCTGAAAATCCATCAGAAATTAAAAGTTGATTTAAAAAATAAATACCAAAGCACATTTGAATTCCCACTCAAACACATCATTATTTCCAAGCATTTTCACGTCCTGTCCCATCATTGGCTTTAGTGGGGGGCAAGTTATAAAACAGAACTATTATCTAGGAGAAGTTTACAAACTGACAAGAAGTTGTGTTACCTCTTGAAGTTTATTATAGTGCCTTTAGTTCTTATTGCATATATGGTAGGTGCCTGTTACAAGTTAGGAATCTGCATGAAGGATGCTTGGTTCAGCAGAGGAGATGTCTATTGCTTCTCTCTTGACACTCACCAATCAGCATGCAAATGCAGTATTTGGTGTGCAGGGTTATTGTTTCAAAAAGTGAAAACCTTCTTAGCTTTAACTGAGGAGGGAACATGATCTTTATTGGCTTATATGCAAAGTTTAATTTTGGTTGTATGCAGAGTTTGCATAGTTCATGATTAGTTTCTAATGAAAAACTAGGTGTGTTGTCAGTGACCTCGAAGATCAGGTGACGGTAGCAAACAGAAAAATTTGAAGAAGAGGCATAACTTTTAAAGTAGAAAGGTCAGCCAGAACTGCCTGGAACAAAAAAGCCAAAAAGAGTTATTAACACCAAAGTCGTCAAAGGCACAACATAAACACCCGTTCAGAGTGACCCGTCAGATGCTTTAGTCTCTCCCAGGGCTACAACTCCCTTCTTGGAATCCCTGAACATGTGCACAATCTAAAACGCACATAAGAAAGTCAGCCGACCTCAGCCTTGTACTTTCTTCAGATGCACAAGGCGGTGGGAGTCTGTAGGAAGTCTAGCGTTTCAGCTCGCTGCTATAAATAACCCTCCATTATGAATCCTAGACCTGTTACTCTAGTGTAGAGAGCAGGTTTACTGCGGGGAATCATGTTGAGATGGAGTTAATGTGTATTCAGTTGCAAGACATAAAAACATCCTCTTCCCTTTAAACACAACACGTAGGCGCCTGGCTCTTTGAAGGACAAGACTTACAACTCTCTGAGAGATAACACAAAGTACCATGGCCGGCACTATATAACTGAACCATATCCCAGGTATAAATTCTAGCCTTGAAAGAAATCAGCTTTGAAGTTTGTCAGTGGTTACCACGGCCCTGAGAAGAATGCCCCCCCCAACCAGAATTAAGCAAGCAGTCCGTCCCATGGCTCACACCCCACACATCAGTGCTAAGCAGACCCTTCCATCAGAGGGGCTTCTTTGTGCAATGGGCGGCAGTTAATGCAGAGAGTCGGGACAGGACTGTCAAGTGCTCGATCGCTCCCTCCTCCACTAAAGCTCAGGAACATGGCGGGAGAGGGGCGGGAAAATGTAAGAGGTGGAAGGCGGGGCTGGGGGCTGTGAGCCTGTGTCCTATGGACAAGACCGGGTCCCTGCACCCGTGAATCCACATTTGTGGTTCTCTTCACGAGGCCTAAACAAGTTTAAGTCTGTCAAAATTTCACTCTCTCTCTCGGGGAAGGGGTCCACAAGGTCCTCACCGTCCCAGAGGAGTTAATGGCTGATGGAGAAAGGGGGCCATTTTCTCCAGTGCTGTGGCGGCTGGTAAGCTGACCACACTCCAGCAGCAACCCTAATTAAACCCCAGGGTCACACATATGCACAGGCGGGGAGGTGGCAAGAGGCATGGTTATTGCTTAATGGGAAAAAGGATTTCGTCAAGTGAGAGAGAGAGAGAGAGAGAGAGAGGGAGGGAGAGAGAGAGAGAGAGAGAGAGAGGGAGAGAGAGAGAGAGAGAGAGAGGGAGAGAGAGAGAGAGGGGGGGGGGGGAGAGAGAGGGGGGAGAGAGAGAGGAGGGAGAGAGAGAGAGAGAGAGAGAGAGAGAGAGAGAGAGAGAGAGAGAGAGAGAGAGAGAGAGAGAGAAAGAGAGAGAGAGAGAGAGAGAGAGAGAGAGAGAGAGAGAGAGAGAGAGGAGAGAGAGAGACCTGCAGTAATGGGAGTGGCTGAAATTGACCACTATGTGCTTATATGAAAGTAATTGTCAGGTGGGGGCACAGACAGGAGAAAAGAAAATAATTAAAAAGTTGAGCACCTGCAAGAGTCATGACTGGATTCTGAAATGGACAGAAATAAACAGAGATGACATGGAAAAGGAAGGAGGGAGGAAGGAAGGGAGGGAGGGAGGGAGGAAGGAGGGAGCGAGACACCAGCTTTAAATCCATCATCCACCACCCAATGACTCCAAAGCTTGTGTCATTCACACGCATACTGTCTAACTCTTTCGATTAGTGTTCCTGTTTGCAACACACGGGCATAGAAATGCGCCGTAGGTTCCCATTAAAATCACCAGGTGTCTGTTTCCCATAATGGTGGTAACGGTTTCGTGTAACAGTCTTGTTTATGGCCCTCCATAAGAAGGTTCTTTCAAGGGTTAGGGGAATTCAAGCACTTAGTAATACTTAACTCAGATTTATAGGTTTTACCCGAGTTACAGGACTGAGCTACACCGAGTATGTGTCCCGTGCAGCAGCAGACACCACAGTGGCTGATGGCCGCCAGGCCTCTCAGCAGCTATTTCCAGCCCACACCCTGAAACTCATCCTTACTTCAGCTGCGGCCAGTGACGTCACCTCCATCAGGTTCACTGCTCGGAAAGCAAACACGGCGGCTGCCAGCACTGGAAAAGAATGCGCACTATTTCAGCGGCTGGCCTCTGCAGCAGCCCGGGCACGCATGCTCTGCCCACAGCCACCAGAGAATGCAGAAGGAGCCAGGCAGCTGCGTGCCTGCCCTCTGCCTTAAGGAGTCACGAAGAGGGCACATCTATTCTAGAGAACACTGCCTGCACACGTCATGGAGTGAGCCCCTTAGTCTGGGGACAGGAAAAGCGGGTGGTTTAAAAGATCATCTATAAATGGTTTCTCTCGCACCTGCCGGTAGCATTCCAACTACTGAGATGCATGGCACTCTAAGGGTGGTCTTAGAGATCGCAGCTCATTTTGACACAGATATTCCTAGGATAGGAAATTGAGGCGCTTTGGAAAGTTACATAGTCAAATTTTAAAAACTCACGTATTTGAGGGAGGTGTCCTGATATAAGCATGGGCATAAGACCATTTAAAAGTAATTTTATGCTATCTTGTATTTATATCTTTATGTACTCATTGACTTTCTTAATATTGCAAATGGATAGTTCTGTGCAGAAGGCTGTTGTGGGACTAATCTTGATATTTACAATGATGGCTACAAGAAAAGTAAGTTGAAAACTTGAAAACATACAGACAACTTGAAGTTTAGTAACAGACACTAAGTCGAAAACATTGGGGCTAATTGTTTCTGTTAAATACACACAAGAAGGACCAGGCGAGCACTCACTGGTTAGCAATGTAGGAATGACCACGGGACTCCATGCACGTGATGAGCTACAGGAGCACAGGACCCATGCCCTAGACAGGCAGCCCTGGTGAGGAAGAAGGAATCGCTCGGAGAGAACGCCTCGCTCCACAGTTTCCCCACGGTCTGAGGTTGCAGTGCCCCCCTCCCCTTGAAAGCACCCAGTTGGGGGATACGTGGTAACGGCCAGCAAACACAGACCTTTGTAGATGAGTTTACTATGAGGAAAAGCATGGCAGCCAGTTTTCACAGCACGCACACACGCACGGTACGCTAAGTACTATGATCAAGTCCATTTAATAGTGCAGGAACGGAGGCATGGCGAGTCGGCTGACATGTTTCGGGTCACATGGGGACATAGTAGAGCTGACACTAATGCCTGTGCTCGTGACCCTTGGATGGTTTCCCTAGTGAGTCCTCAGGCCAGGAGACTACTGTCCTAGGGAGGGTCAGCTCTGTTGTGTCTCAGAGAACTTTCCAGATGTGGCCTGCAGTGGTGGTCCTGGGCCCTAGCAGGGAGGATGTGCCTGAGGGGTGGATAGCAGGCTCTTGCTGTCCAGGCCTCTAAGTCACTCCAGGTAGGGGACAGTGCAGGCTCGGGATCTGGGGAATTTCCCGTGGTACTATGGGCAAGAGTATTACAGTTAGATAGGAAAGGCGGCCCTGGAGAAAACTAGGGGATAATAAGAAGAGAAATTAAAATAAACAGCTGGACTATTCACCATGAAACACAGGTCTGGGTCAAAGGCGGTTCTCTTTATCTGGAAGGGATGAAGAGAGGTACAAAGCCATGCGGTGTTATGTTTACAGGAGTGTTAACCCATTTCTGTGGGCTAACAACATGTACCACTGCTATCTGGAATCCTATTTTTCACAGTGGGAACACTTTAGAAGCTAAGAAACATGATTCCCACTTTCATTCCTGTACATAGTTAAGCAGTTGGCTGAAAGCTTGACAGGATGTCCAAATATGTGCCGTAGCAGGACCGAGTCTGAGACGGAGGTCAGCTGCTGGTCTAAGGTAGCGAACTCCACTGACTGAAGTCGGCAGCCAAACGTGTGCGCACAGCCTTTATTTATCTCGCTGTCACACCACAGACATGCCTTTCCGTTTGCTTCATGCTGAGTTTGTCCAGCCCTTCTGCACAGAACAGGGACAGGACCTGCACTTTGGGGTATTCTTAATTCATGCAGCAGAGAAATGTGGGAACTGTTGGGTTCACTTTGGGATTTTTACAAGTATTCTCACTACTTTAATCTTAATAAACTCTATCATAACATGAAGATGCCTCTGTTGTAAGCTCTTCTTTAGTGGTCTGTAAGGCATTGTTAAGGACAGATACGTTTATGAAAGGATTTCTCAAGACTCTATAATAACATATTTGGTATAAACGGTGCCTCAAGTGTCTGCACCTAAACTGTGTGACATAATGGATGGAATCTGTGTTATCTCTTCATGCAATGACCTGTTATTATGGACATTATTATAGATTCCAGGGCTAGAGCTCCCAACACTCCAGGTTCATTTGTTGGTGCTTTAAAATTCTTCCTGTGAGTTTTGAGGGCATCCAGGCAAGTGAATGGATGCAAAATACGATTCCGTTTCTGCCTCTCTGCCAGTCCATTTTCAACTGATGCACAGAGCTAACAGAGTACCTGATACAGAGTGTATCCAGCATTCCACACTTCTCTCCCCCTTTCCCTTCAGCTAAGGCAGTGATGAGGCACAAAACCAGAGGTTAAACCTCAAGAGTCCTGGAAAGCTCTCTAAGTGGAAGCTTCTTTCACATGGAAACTTGTCCTCTTTCCCGGTGACAAAGCTTACTCTGCTCGACCCCCCTCAGGGAAAGCGCTTTCTCACACTGAATTTCCTCCTGAGCTCACGCACTATTTTCTCCGAAATGACAGCAAATGGGGAGAAGTACACGCTGCAGAGATTCCGCTATACCCGAAAGAGAGTAACTTGGTGAAGTATAAAATCCAGACATTTGTGAAATGTCTGGATTTTAGCAGAAAACCAGACTGCTTAGTCTAGAAAATAGAAGGCTCCAGGGAAAGAAGGTGTAGAGGAAGTAGAGAAAGCATGAGAACACCCTGGGTAGTAGGGGGCGTGGTTGGAGCTGTAGGGATGACTCGGCGGTTAGAAGGCTTGCTCTAAGGCTTGCTCTTTTGCATGACCAGAGACCAGTTCTTAGCACCCAGGAAGGCTGGCTTACAACTTCCTGCAATTCTAGCCTCCATGAGTTCGGATGCCCTCTTCTGGTGTCTGTGGGTAACTACACACACACACACACACACACACACACACACACACACACACACAATCTTTAAAAAGGAAAAAAGGGCTGCCTTCAACAGTGGTATTACTATTGTGTGTGTGTGCACGTATGTGTGTGTGAGTGTGAGCACATATGGAAGTGCACATATGGAAGCCATGGTATGTGTGTCAGTCAGTGGACAACTGGTGGCTCTCTCCTCCTGCCACGTGGGTCCTGGAGATTTAACTTGGCAGTAGGCATTTTTACCCACTGAGCCATCTCAAAGGCCCTAGGAGGGGCACATGTTAGCCGTCTCCATGAAGACATGGGTCCTCTGCAAAGGGTAGGGGCAGCTGGTCAGAAATGTCTGAAAAGCCTGGCATTCCTGCATTCCTAGATGATCTGCCGCTGTCCTTTAGCTACGATGAAGAGGGTAGACTGTTCTTCCCTAACATGTTTATATGAGCTTTAAGAAAAATGACCACAGGAAACTGAGAGTTGTTAAACCATCAATCAGTGACCGTCTGGCTGCACCTGAGGTGACATTTATCTTCATGTACTTTAGAATTATTCTTCTTTCACCTTTCCAAATGTCACCCAAATACTGTGGGCCGCTGGCACTCAAGAAAACGTTAATATGGTGCCCAGAGAATACTCTTGACACGTTATTTTTCTAAGCCTTATTTCCACAATATCCCAGAGGTGATTTTAACCGTAAAGGAAGGAAGCAAACAAAACATTGCCAGCTGCTCTGTACCCCGTATGTAGTTGTAGAAATTTCCTAGTTTTACCTGAATTTTCTGATAATCCTGTAATTAAGTATCTGAGTCTACTGTGCACTAGGGTCCCAAACACATAAGAAGTATGTACTTGGTGTGTTACAGCATGACTGGTATACATGTGCTGAATAAACTGCTTAAGCATTAATAATCGCTGGGTCTGTGGCTTCCTCTAGTAAAGGAGGAAATGCCTCTTTTTTTTTTTTTTAATGAGAGAATACCTAAAAGAAGAAATTTTGGCACCAGGGTAGAAGCCAGAGACTACCAGCAAAGATGAAAGGGCTGGAGTCCAAGATAAACTGCAGTCTAGAAAAGAAGAGCTTTGAGATATGCTGGGGGAGGGGCTCAGTGTCTGAGAAGAACACGGGACAGAATGTTATAGCTCATGTATACCTGCTGCATGTACATGTCATGTGTGCATGTACCTCAGGTAAAACAGTATGTCTGCTGCATGTATATCTCATGTGTGCATATATGATGTCAGGAATAACAGTATGTCTGCTGCATGTACATCTCATGTGTGCATGTATGTCAGGTATAACAGTATGTCTGCTGCATGTACATCTCATGTGTGCATGTACCTCAGGTATAACAGTATGTCTGCTGCATGTACATCTCATGCGTGCATGTATGTCAGGTATAACAGTATGTCTGCTGCATGTACATCTCATGCGTGCATGTATGAAGTCAGGTATAACAGTATGTCTGCTGCATGTACATCTCATGCGTGCATGTATGAAGTCAGGTATAACAGTATGTCTGCTGCATGTACATCTCATGTTCCCCTTCTTTAATGACAGTAGGTGAGTGTTAGACAGGAAAGGTACTTCATGTAGAAACAGCATGTGTTTCACAAACACGCACTTACTCTTACCAGCAAGAATTTCCAGAGAGTTGTATCCTAGGATTCTGTCCCACAAAAGCAAGAGTTGATCTGTAGCTAAGTATCCAGAGAAAGCTCGAACCATCCACTTAAAAGATATACGAAGTCTATAGGCAAGAAAAATAAGGATTAATTGTGTTGCTAGATCCTTTCCTCAAAAAAGGCAATATTAGAAGAATCTAACTGATTTTGTCATTGTTGTAAATCTGAGACTTTTTATTTCCTAAAAGCTGCAAAGTGACAAGATGAGTGTTCAATTTGATGTTCCTAAACTCCTGAGAGACTGTGTATGATGCAGTGAATGTTTATAACCCATCTTACACTGCAATGTTTATAACCCATCTTACACTGCAATGTTTGTTTATAAACCATCTTACACTGCAATGTTTATAACCCATCTTACACTGCAATGTTTATAACCCATCTTACACTGTAATGTTTATAACCCATCTTACACTGCAATGTTTATAACCCATCTTACACTGCAATGTTTATAAACCATCTTACATTGCAATGTTTGTTTATAAACCATCTTACACTGCAATGTATGTTTATAAACCATCTTACACTGCAATGTTTATAACCCATCTTACACTGTAATGTTTGTTTATAAATCATCTTACATTGCAATGTTTGTTTAGAAACCATCTTACATTACAATGTTTACATCTTACACTGTAATGTTTATAACCCATCTTACACTGTAATGTTTATAATCCATCTTTCACTGCAATGTTTATAAACCATCTTACACTGTAGTTTTTTGTTTATTTGTTTGTTTTTCTGAAAAAAGAGTTTCTCTGTGTAGCTTTGGAGCCTGTCATGGAACTAGCTCTGTAGACCAGGCTGTTCTTGAACTCACAGAGATCCACCCGCCTCTGCCTCCTGAGTTCTGGGATTAAAGGCATGCACCACGAACGCCCAGCCAACAGCTGTATTCTGATAATCTTAATTTATCCAAGATACGACATTTTGGATTGTTGTTCTAAGTACTTTAAAGAGTGCTTAGTGCTTTTATACTTTTCAGTTCAACACATTGTACCCACACATCTCAGTCATCTATATTACAATAACAATTTCCCCCAAATCAGGAAGTGAGACATGTGGTTTTTATGCCATAAGAGATAAACAAACCTCTCAAGTAGGAGAAAATGAGAGGGAGGAGAGGAAGGCATGTGCGACCAGGAGGATTGAGCCTGGTTAGGAATGGAAAATAGGAAAGAGAGAGAGAGACAGAGACAGAGAGAGAGAACATAAAAGAGGGAGCCAATATTGGTTTGAAGATAAAGTTGAACACAAAGAAAGGTCGAGGGAACTACAAGACTGCTCCCAACTAACAATCTCAGCTTCCGTGGAAAGGCTATCATAAATGCCCTTCCCCGGAGAGTGAGATCAACAACTAACTTCTCCATGGAGTCCTCAACTAATGCCTGTTGAAAACAGGAGCAAACACCCATACATAAACACTGAGTCAAACTAGAACCCAGAAGCAGATGGAGAGGACAAGACCATGCAGTAGAAGTACATAGAGACAGCTTACCTGAACAAGGAGGAGCTAAGGGCCACTAGACTGATAGCTGGGAAGCCAACAGGGGTCTGACTCGGACCCCCCTGAATATGGGTCTCAGCCAGAAGGTCTGAGCAGCCTAAGAGACCTCAGACAGTGGAGCCAGGATGTATCCCTGGTGCACAAAAGGACTTTGCAAACATATCCTCCATGGAGGGATAACTGCCTTATTCTAGAGATAGGAGAGAAGCCCTAGTCCCTACTTCACAGGACCTGTCAGATCTACATGACCCCAACTGGATGGCATTCCCCTACATATTGTATTGTGGTGGGGGGGTTGGGAGGGGAGGGTGTTTAGAGTGCATGGGAGAGGGTAGAGAGGGCAAAAGGGAGGGAAGGAGGGAGGGAGGGCTTGGGGGGAGGGAGGGAGAGGGAACTGGGATCGACATGTAAAATAATAAAAAAAAAAAAAAAAAAAAAAAAACGCTTTGACTCCAAAATTTAAGTTGAAGAACAAGTTACTGGGGAAAAGTATTTCTATTTTTGTTTCCACAGAAAATGAAAAGATGTGGATTCCTTCCAGACTAATGTGGTTTGATCACACCAGACCGCCTGAAACAGAGTACAAGCTGATCCTACATTCCAAACAGCTGGACAAAACAGCCCTACAGACTACAGCTAGGATATCTGAATCTTCTTCGAATCCCCCAAGACAGCGCCCCTTACCAGCAGGAAGTAGTTTGGAAAGAACGATGCCCAAATTCCCAAATATTGTGTATAAATGTTTGTTTTCATTTAATTGGACTTTGTTATATAAAATTAAATAAAAAATACTCTATATGCAAAAAAAAAAAGAGATAAACAAACCTCTCACATTTCTGTATTTTCTATTAGTATCTAAAAATCACTGGATATACCTGGAAGGTCACAGTTAAATTTGTTGTTGAATTATTCTAGATTCAAATATCACCAAGTATTGGTTAGTAGTATTTAAAAATTAAGCCTTTTGATTGGTTTAAAATCAAACAAAGGAAAACTTTATCCATAAAAAATTTAATACTCAAAAATACATCTAAATTATTAAACTCAATCGTTCTCATTGTACTCAAGTTCTCAGTGTCTTTGGGAAGGAATGATATCTCTTCTCATACAGACAGCACAGCACTGCAATGGCTTAAAATCATGAAGTTTACTGAGGGATGGTTTAGCATTGCAGAATCTACCCTTGCAAGTATACAGTTCCATGAGTTTTATATGAAGAATGACAAGATGAAAATTGTGGAATTGGATAGTATAATAGTTATTTGAAAAAGATGAAACATTATGATAAAACCTCCAAGTTAGTAGTATGATAGTAGATTGAAATGGCCAAGAAAGGAGTCAATGGACTGAGCATATATCAATGGAGACGTGGTCTAAAGAAGTCTCCAGTCCCTAGTACAGACAAAATGACTGGAAAACCAAATAACAAAAATTAAAACAGACACATAAACAAGAAGTACATATAGAGCTTCAAGCATCTTGGCAGCAGGTGGGGTAAGGGACTAAACTGAAAGCATCTGCATGGTGTCATCGTTACCCAGAAGACGAGGCGAATAAATGTGTTGCACAAAACATATCTGGAGGATGGTAGCTAACCAAAGAGTCCCCCAATATGACAACAGAAACCAAGTCATAAGATGACCAACAGAACCAACAACATACACTCAAAGAAATCTAAGTCTGGACACACTGCAATCAAGTTGCTGACAGGTAGAGATGGCAGTCTTCATAGCAAACACAGAAAGGAAGGTTTGAAACGGTCCTGCCCGAGATGTTCAGTACAATTTCAAGCTGTTCAGACACAGAGGCTTAGAATTTGTTTAAAAGTGGGCTGTATTCTTTACTGATGGAATTCTGTGAAACAGGAGGCACCTGTCAAAGATCATTCATCAACAGCACAAACAATGAATACTGCGGTGAACCAGGATAAAAAGTGCTCAGTTTTCAAACGGGGGCAGAAGTGAATGAAAGGGAAGAACACAGGAAACAGAAAATTCTATCAAGATAGATTTCTATCAAATGACAATAATTATGTTAAATAATAACTGGCATAAACATATCAGTTAGAATACCTATTACTATATAGAAAGACTCAACTATACTTTGACAAGAAACCTGCTTGAAAATTAAAAGATTGATAATTGATATAGTAACTTAAAAATAGAAACACCAAGAAACGTGAAAGCAGAAGTGAGTGTAATTGAAACTGTAAAACAAGAGAAAACTCAACAGAACACAAAACTCATTCTTTCAAAGATGGCCAAAGTTAAAAAATCCCTAGGCAGAATAATAAACAAAACTAGGCAGGGTGGACCCTGTCAAGCCTGATGAATGGAGTTCCATCCCCAGAACCAAGTCCAACCAGAGAACTGACGGATGCAAACTGTCTTCTCATCTCCACACACAGGCGCGTGTGTTTGTGCACGTGTGCATGTGTGTGCACGTGTGTGCGAGTGTGCGAGAAAGAGAGAGACAGACACAGAGACAGAGTATACTAAGTAATAGTGTGTGTGCGCATGTGTGTATGTGTGTGTGTGCGTGCGAGCATACATGCATGCGTGTGTGTGTGTGTGTGTGTGTGTGTGTGTGTGTCCACGTGAGGAGAGGGACAGACACAGAGACAGAGAGTATACTAAGTAAAAAATAAAAAACAAAAACACAGTAGGAGCAGTTCTCACTAAGAACGCCTTTAAAAAATTGGTTTCTACCTGTCTACTGGGTGTTTATACTTCCTCCTGTTGAAGAATTTTAAGTCACCAAAATCTAAATATTTCTTGTACAAATAGACTAGATAAACCTACCAATATTTTATTTTCTAGCAATGAACTAAACATCTTCAGTCCAATAAAAAAAAAAGCCTAGTTATATTCAACTTCTAATTTCACAAGAGTAGACAGAGGTCTGTGACTTACGCTTAATATAAATTATTTTTGCTACACGCCTGTTTTAGTCTTGTTTAAGAACAGAATACTTTTCTAATGAGGCCAAGGAAGCAAGAGTCTCAGTTCTACATTATCAAAGGATATCAAGAATGTTATGTTTTAAAGAACACTTGAAATCTTTCTTAAACCCAATGGGTCTTCAGAGAAAGGCGATAGAATGTTTATGTCCACACTTTCCATGTCTGTGTCTTGTCTATACTCACTTAATCTGGAAACAACTCCATAAGGTGGGAATTCCCTTCGTTCTGAGATAAAGAAATTGAGTTATCCTGATTTAAATATAAATATGAATTTCCAGCATAAATAACTTCGCCTGGGATCTGCAGCTGGGCTACGTTTATGCCCACTAAGGTAGGCATCTGCTGTAGGTGTGTATGGAGAAGATGAATGCCACACTTGGTTATAGTCAAGTCCTACAGTCTCACAGAGCGAGCGTCCTTTTTCACACAGACCTTCCTTAACACTGTGTGAGGCTGCTTAGAGAGGACAGGAGCCAGACTCTGATGCAGATAACAGTATTTAAAAAGAGACAGACCATTTACCGAGGTCAGAGCTAATCCGCACGTTCACACTATCCACCTACTGCTCATGCTGAGACTGTGAAGGAAATGCAAACTTGTGTAAGGAGAGGACAGGACAGCTGCTGGGCGGTGCCTGGGCAGCCTCGCTTTAGTGTGAACAGCAGCCCTCAACCTCGCTGCTTCACAGTTGTGCTCTGATCACTCTAGTCCACACTGACTTAACTGTGGTGATGTCGCATTTCCCAGGCTCTATCTGTTTCCATAATGAACTGAATTTAGATTAATGTGGTGATCCTTATACCAGACACAGAAATCAATCCAGTGAATACAGCTTCCACCAGGACACTGGTCGTCCTCCAAGTACATTTTGTTTTCTGTGCTGGACCCAGAGTCTCGTACATGTCAGACATGTGCTCTCCCACTAAAGCCACAAACCCGGCCCCCTGAACCCTTTCCCTCTCTCCTTCTCCTTTCCTTCCCTCTCTTTTCTTCCTTCCCATTTTTTTCTTTTTTCTTTTCTTTCTTTTTTCTTTTCTTTTCTTTCTTTCTTTTTTTTTTTGCACAGTGTAGCTGTAGTTAATGATTAGGACTCTGGGGGCAGAATTGTTGCCTTACTTCCTTGAGGACATACTGTGGTTGTTCATGCAGGAAGAGAGCAAGAGTGTTGTGTTTCCAGCTTCACCACGGGAAGCGCTGTGAAGATGCAGTGAGGCAATAAAAATACTCACGGTTGAGCTCCGATCTCTCTGAGATGGTAGAAGAGTTGGGGAAGATAGGTTTGAAGAAGAGTTTCAAACAGCAAGCAGAGCGACACGATGCCCTGGGTCCAACAGTGAGTCAAAAGAGACAGAGGTCAGTCTTTGAATGTGAGCTATGGTAACAATCATTTAAAAAGGGCAATACACATTAATATTCCCTGTGAATGAGAACAGAACACGCCAATGCATCCCTGACCCGGTATTGAAAGGTAAATTTGACGTCATCACGAACATGCTCTTGTTGACGTACTAAGCACTCCCCCACCGCCACAGCTCCACGACCCAAGGCAAACATAAACATTCATTACAGACAACCTGCCACTTGGTGAGCCACATAAATCACGCAGGTCCGGCAAACTTAGTTTTCTCTGGAGGTGTTCCAGTTTGCAGGCATTTCCTGCCACCCCTGTCCCGCTCTGCCCATCTGAGTCTCTGCCCGCAGCCTCACCCTTTGGGAAAACATTGCTGGCTTTCCTCACTTTGAATCACATCAAGTTACCAAACAAAAATAGTCATTATCAGACAAGAATACTTGATTACTCAGAATAAAAGCTTGTTTACTAAATCTACTTTTTTAAGGGGGGCATTATTTGTAAAGTAGAAGCAACTAATTTAAGCAATTTTTTTTCCCTGTGAATTTATTCCTTAGCAACTCTGATTGAAAGTTTCTCGGGGACTCAGCGCCCCTCCGCTTGCTCTTGATAAGGGAACTTTCACCCCCCACTCTGAGTCCCTAACCTGGCACGGTTTGAAATAGGATAAGCATGAAAATGAGATGAGCATCAGTCAATCCCCGTTAAAGGAGCAAAGGGCGGGGCTGGAAGGTGAGGCTGGGCGCTGTCCAGATAGTTCGTTTTTTCAAAACTCTGAGGCATAAATTGTGTATGGAGTCTGCATGTGCACGTTTCTGTGTGCTTGTGTGTGTGCATACTGTGAGTGTGACTGTGTTGTGGGAACATGCTGTGCGTGTGGGTGTGTTATCATGAGAACGATAATAGAAAGCAGAATTATTAATATCACCTTTCTGTTTAGTCTAGGTTAAATAGGAATGGAAGGTAACAACTAAATCCAATTCTCTTGAGAGAGTCTCAGATGATTTGTTAGCTTCTCTGTGACGTTCTAGAATTTTCTTAGTTGCCAACATTCACTAGCAATGCAGGAGGGCCATCTGAAGACAAAGGAAGCAGAGCCAGAGCACAGATTTGTAAATGGAGGGGTGAAGACCAGCTCCTCAATTCAGTAGGAGGGGCAGTCTTCCCTGGGCAGTCTGGCTGACCTGCCCCGCCTTCCAGGGGACAGGTTCTCACAGAGAGCTAGGCAGACAACCCACAGGAGACCAAAGACCTCCAGACGGGAACCCTGACAGGAAAGCCAATGCTGCCCTGCCAGGGCTCATGAGCAATAAAAGGTAGGATAAAGGTCTAAAATACACAACAAGAGACTAAAGTGCAGTCAGTATAGGAGCTGAACAAATACAACGAAAATACATAGTAAAGGAGCTGGTAATTGGCCACAAGACAAATAAATGCTCAATTTTCATTTGAAAAGATGAAATGATAATGATAATTACAGCAATACTAAAGAGAAGAAAGTAGCTATTTCTGTGCAGAGTACCCACTCAGCCCTCACCTGCTTGTTCTGTAAACTTCCCACAGCAGCACAGAGAACCTCGCCAACCTCCCTTCTCAGATGGACAGAGCAACAAAGGAGGAAGGCAAGGGCGAGAATCTAGACAGCCCCCCCTTTTTTTTCTTATTTTAACACAGAAAGCTAAAAACCTAGTTAATACAAGATGTTTTCCTCTCTACTCTGCAAAACATTATTTGAAACTGTAGAGTTTCTTGCTTTGTAATTTGAGCAGGAGACTCTTTGTTTAAGGAAAGAACGGTTTGGAGTCTGAGCCGGTCCAGCATGTGAACTTACAGACGGATGGGAGGAGATGGAGTGGAGCCTGAAGAAAAAGCGGACGTACATCTCACGGAATATCTGATACAATTTGTACGGTTCGTGATACAGAAAACACAGTGGTGCAACTAAAAGAAAACATAATTGGGAATACTGCATGACTAAGGTGTTTAGAGTAAGTTCGTGAAATGCAAATAACAAAACAGGAAGGTCTAGCGGTCATACCCACAGCAAAGTCTGTCGTCATGCATACACCGTGTTTTAATGGCAAAAGGGAATATGCATGCGAAAGTTCAAACAACTGCTAAGTATCACAGGTGAACAACTTACAAATGGTTAGAATCCCACCCTGCCCCCTCCCTGAGAATGAAGCCCCTGAGCCACCTTCGAATGCATAAAAGGGAAGCAAGGAGAAGGCAACATCCATTTCCCACTTCATCTGAGACACGGTGACATACCCGTGCTGGCCTTTACCCCGAGCCTCCCATGAAGACGTTCCTCATCCTTGTTTAAATCATCGTAACAGTTCATTAGGATAATTGCTATTGGAGATTTGCAGATGGAGGAACTGAGGCAAAAGGGAGCTAAGATACTATCCAAGGCCACACACAGACTTGTTTCAGGGTCTGTGGTTTCGCCTGTTAACCCGGCTTTTTGTTCACGTGCCCTTGAAGATATTCAGAAATGAAGGCCCCAACCCACCGCACATCTTAAAGGGGACACTCCACACTCTCCACCCTAAGCCAGAGCTCCTACAAAAGATGTGATTTTCTGCGCCTTTGTCGTTAGCTTATAGGTAGAAAGTTCGCCTTCGTATCAGTTGCACATTCATAACCCTTACTAAGTCCATTTATTAACCCTCACAGATCATTTGATTATTCTTTTGGATTTTCTACACACATAATCACCATATCTGATAACAATGGAAGTTTCATTTTCTTTCCAGTATTTATTTCCTTATTTATTTATCTTGCTTTGTTCGATTGGCTATGACCCTCAAAGGATTATACCACACAGGCAGTACCAAAGGGACATCATTATTAGTTCCTTAGAGACAAAGATTTTAATATTGCTGAGTATAATATTTACTCTATGTCCAAGTATTATTAATCAGAATAAAGGCATCCTCTCTCCTTCTTAGATAAGTATTCTTACCACAAATATTTTGCTTATTAGTATAAATTATCCATTTCATTATTACATTTTTACACACATATTTAATGCATTTTCATAAAGGATGGGAATGAGTGACAGTTGAATGCTCAGCCACGAGGGGGTACCTATATCACCCCCTTCAAGTCTCTGGAAACATGGTGGGAGAATGGGCAGACAGAATGTAAGCGAGGAGGAGTCAGGAAGCGGTGGGAAAATAAAGATGGACACAGACCGCCTCACATCACAAGCCATTGCATTCCTCAACTCACAGAGGCTACGGCTGCCTACACAAGACATGCACAAGATCCGCTTCTGATTGCAGAACAGGGAAGAGAAGGGTTCGTCAGGCTCCCCCCCCCCCCCACAGGATTTATATTCAGTGAATACAGGGCTCAGGGGGACATATTCCATTTTTCAGTGATGTAGCCAAACGGTGAGAAAGAAGCCCACGCTCCTGTAAAGAACGGCTCAACGCTATCCTGAGCAAGGAGAACTAAGTGGGGGGATTATCATTCCAGACCTCACAATATATTGCAGAGCCACAGTAATAAAAACTGATATGCTACCGGCACAAAAGCAAACATGTAGATAGGACAATGAGATACTTCTTCCATTTCTTTCTTTAAGAACTCTCTGCTCAGATTCCTAGGGAACTTTTGAATGTGTCTGTTTGTTTGTTTCTTGACTGCTTTTCAGTTCTTCATGTATCCTGGATATTAACCCTCTGTCAGATGTGCTTCTGGCAAAACCGTCTCCCATTCTGTGGGCCTCCTCTTCACTTGATTGTGAAGTGATTGGAGAAAAACGATGGGGGAAAAAAAATGAAGACCCAAATTTGAGTACATGTAACTACAGCCAACTCATATTTGACAAAGATGCCAAACACACACACTGGGGAAAAGATGATGCCAGGAAAACTGCATGGCTAGATTAGCGACAATAGATCTGAATCTATCACCTGGGGGAGAAAAAAACTAACTCTAAGTAGATCAAAGACCTAACGTGAAACCCACAAAACAGAAGCTGCTAGACGGAAACATAAGCACATCATACACGACTTAGGCGTATGAATGGACGTTTTGAATAGGACCTCATCTGCCCAGGAATAAAGTCCAACAACTGACAAGTAGAAAGTTACAGAAATAAAAGTCTTCTGCACAGTTAAAGAGATAGTCACTCAAGCGAAGAGGTGGTCCACAGAACGGGGGGAGACAATCTTTGTCAAAAGTACATCTGACAGATTAATATCCGGATTATATAAAGAGCTAAACAACAAAAAGTCAAAAAACAAAACAAAATGACATTTAAAAAATGGGCTAGGGATCTAAACAGAGTTCTTAAAATAAGAAATAACTCAAAAGTTTACCTTATCCCAGTCACACTGGTACAGATCAACAAAATAATTAACAAAAAGTGCAGGAGAGGATGTGGAGAAAAGGGAACTCTCATTTTTATAGTTGGTGAGGTTACAAATGGCACCAAACACTCTAGAAAACAATGTGCAGAACTTTCAGAAAGCTGCAACTCAACCTACCATATAACACGGCTACACCACTCCTTGACAAATGCTCAAGGGCTAGACAGCTAACTTCCCAGATACTTTTTCAGCCATACCCACGGGTGTTCTATTCACAATAGCTAGGGAGTGACGAGAAAGTGAAATGCCCTTCATAGGGTGGAGAATGAGTGTGGGGAACGCACACCAGGGGATACTATTCAGCTGCAAAGAAAAGCAAAATCATCAACTGTACAGGAAAATGGGTAAACCAAAGCCAGAAAGACACACGTCGTGTGTTCTCTCCCATCTGTGGCTCCTGACTCTGAATATTCAGATGTGATCCTTGATCTCCAGTAACTGCAGGCACTAGGAAAGTAAAGAGGGACCAGGAGAGATGGAGGAGAAATAGAGAGGGAGGAAGCATGGATGGCACAAATGATTTGAAGAGGAAAACGGGAAAAGTGTGTGTGTGTGTGGGGGGGGGTTACTTAGAGAGCGGGAAGGGTGCCAGCACAGAGAGCCGGATGAAGAGGGTAAAGAAAAGTAGGGATGTCTGGGAAAAGAATCATATTATCACCTATTTACCTGGATGAAGTTCCATATAATACACATAAACTTATATATATATGCATATGTATGTATGTACGTATATATACATACATAAATACGTACATACATACATATGCATATATATATATATATATTTTTTTTAAATGACATTTTCCCATCTGGGCTGACAATGAGCCAAATACAAACAAAAACCCCAACACCAGGCATGAGAAGCTCCCTTTCCAGTTGTTGGTCATGGTAGTTCAAGATACTCCCCCAAATCGTAGGCCATTGCTGTTGACGCTGTTACCTCCCAGAGGTTGAAGGTAAGTCCCGATCGCTGAAGACACTTCATGGCACCTGTGCTTCAGACACAGGCCTTAGATGACCCAAGCTGGATTATCCTGAAAGCATTTCCCCTGAGGTTTACCTTTCTTTTCTCCCTCCCTCCCTCCCTCCCTCCCTCCCTCCCTCCCTCCCTTTTCTTTTCTTTCTTTTACAGAAGCAAAGGGTTTATTCAGCTTACACTTCCAACACTGCTGTTCACCTCTAAAGAAAGACAGGACAGGAACTCAGAGCAGGTTCCCTGAGGCAGGAGCTGACGCAGAATCCACGGAAGGGTGCTGCTTACTGGCTTGCTCAGTTTGCTTTAGTACAGAACCCAGGACCACAAGTCCAAGCAGATAGATAGAGCACCTCTTACAATGGGCTGGGCTCTCCTCCATTGATTACTAATCGAGAAAGTGCTGAACACCTGTGAATCAGTCTCCTAAACCGAGGTCCATTCCTCTCTGAAGACTGACGCTAGCTTGTGTCAGGTTGGCACACGATTCCCTCCAGTACAGTGTGCATTCTTGTCCAAAGTTTTGGTAGATTCAGGAGATCCAAGAGGCCTGGGCTCTGCCTGGTTTGGAGCCATTTTTGCTACCAGCCACACTTGTTGCTTATGACTCATGTAAGTGTTTTTCTTATGTCTGATTTCAGTATTCACACATGTTTAGGGGTCCTTTTCATACTTTCAAATTTCCTGTGTTTAATGGTTGAAGCATCACTGAAAGTTCCTCTGGTTTATATTTAGTTAGGATTTCACCTTTCTTTTCCTATATTTAATTTCTATCTTCTATCAGTTTGGGTCAGGCTTTTTCATTTTGAAACAAGCTTATTTTACATGTCAATCCCAGTTCCCTCACCCTCCCATCCTCCCCTATCACCCCCTCCAAAACCCAGCCCTTTCTGCTGGGTGGGTGAGGCCTTCCTTGGGGAGTCTTCAAAGTCTGTCATATCATTTGGGGCAGGACCTGGGCTCTCCCCCATGTGTCTAGGCTGAGAGAGTATCCCTGTATGTGGAACGGGCTCCCAAAGTCCATTCGTGCACTAGAGATAAATACTGATCCACTACCAGAGGCTCCATAGACTGCCAAAGCCCCCTAACCAACACCCACGTTCAGGAGTTTTGATTTGCATTTCCCTCACAGCTAAGGATGCTGAACATTTCTCTACCTGTTTCTCAGCCACTTGTGTTTCATCTTTTGAGAACTCTCTTTATCTCTCTACCCCATTTTTAACTGGGTTGTTTCCCCCATGTTCAGTTATTTTAGTTCTTTATATATTTTAGACAATAACTGTCTATCAGATGTCTAACTGGTAAGGATCTTTTCCCATTCCATAGGCTGCCTCTTTGCCTGAAAGACGATGCTCTTCGCCATGCAGAAACTTCTCAGCTTCACGAAGTCCCATTTATTAACTGTTGGTCTTAGTGCTGGGCTGTCCATCCTGTTCAGAATGCCCTTTCTGTGCCAATGAGTTCAAGCCCATCCTCCCCTTTCTCTTCTATCAGATAGTGGGTATCTTATGTTGGGGTCCTTGATCCATTTGGAGTTGAATTTTGTGCAGGGTGCTGAGTATGGATTTATTTTCTTTCTTCTACAAGCAGCCGTCCAGTCTGGTGAGCACCATTTGTTGAAGACGCTGTATTTTCTCCAGCATGTTTTTTCACTTCATGTCAAACACACAGGTATCCACAGTATGTGGGCTTAGTCTACGGCGTCAGTTTGATGCCATTAGTAAGCGTGTCTGGTTCTGTTTCAGTCCCACGCTGCATTTATTACTATAATAGAGCTAAATACTAATGTGTCCTTATTTTATTAGATTAGATGCCATGCTCACAGCAGCCTTCACAGTGTGTTCTAATTCTCATATGCTGAGAAACCATTACCTGTACAGTTGTGATCTTTATTTTTAGTTTTCTTAGACATGTAAAAATACTGAATTCAATGTTTAAAGTGCACATAGTACTTTTAAGTTTTACGAGCGGTGAGATACAAAGCATTACCATTATGTTTCAACTTCCAAAACAGAACAAAAGAAATGACTATATCAAGCCCAACTTACCATACATGGAAAATCCGTGGAAAGGGATCACACCTGAAAAGTAAAAAACACATCAGTCACACACGTCTGCTCCACGTAGGAGGTACAGGGTCAAAACTGTAAATGGAGACATTTCTTCTTTCTTCTTCCATTTTCAAATGCCAGAAAGACAGTGATAGCAACCACTAACAGTTGTTTTTAACACACTTAGGAGAGTAAACTGGACATTTTCAAACATATGTCCAAGCCTGAGTAAGCAAAGCGCTAACCACGAGGCAACTGTGGAAAGCTACAGATGTGTCTTTGTCTTGGGCAGGGAGTCGGGGAGGGGAGGAGAGGGCTGGCAACCTGCCGTGTTGTCGTCTGTTCAGTTACCATTAGAATCAGCTTTGTGCGTGTGCGCCCGCTACTGCAGCTGGGTTCTTCCGCTGTGCCGGAAGCTAAAGCACTGTCCTGTCCTAACCGTGACACTTGGACTAGTAGGGCATCATGTGACTATCACGCGCAAAAGCCCAGGCCTAAGCTTTAATTATAATGGCATTTGCATCACAGTTTGGACCTTTTCCCTTGTGGGCTTTTCCATGGGAAGAAACGCCCTATGAAGGAGACAGAACACACTGACAAGGCAGCACCCAATGGCCTATTTGCCCACCCTGCCTTCACCCCACATTACACATTTGGGTCAGCCTGCTCCACTCTCTCGGGGTTGTACTGTCATTTTACACTGCTCTGTAAATTAACTTCTGCTACTCTGTATCTGTCAGCTGGACTCTTCCCTTTGAAAAGACCAGAATCGAAAAGAAATCTTCACCCGATGAGACATCCAGTTAATGTTCTGTTGAGATGCTGAGCAAGCAGGACCGAACATGCACGTTTACAAAGACGGAGCGAGCTGTCAAGGCCGGCCATAGGCAGACTTGAGAACTACTGTGATGCTCTTACAATCAGCTGACAATGTTCGTCCTCACACGATCACACCCCACCCGCTAGAATCCGGTCCACCAAGGATCAGTGAGAATTCCAAGGCATTTCCTGTACACATCGCTTTATAGACAAGTATTTCATCCGTTTTACTAATGATTCTATCCTGTGAGTGACTTAGGAGACACTAACAGGGCTGCTTTATAAGTTCATATTTATAAATTATACCGTCATTGGAGAAAATTGTACACAGAGTCTACAGTGTTTGCAAAGAAAGACTAAAAGCCTAACTTTAGCATACTAAAAGCTTTGCTATATTCTGTGAAAATGTAGTCTTGGTTCTAAACAGAGTATCTGTAATTTACACCATTGAATATATTACAGTGCACTAAATCAGTTTATCAATGCTCTCTAGAAAAAAAAATCAAGTTTATACTTATTTATTTTAAAGGATAGGAATGGTGTGTTCTTCTAACCTGTGAGGAAGAAAAACAAAACAGTGCCAGAGGGCCGTGTAAACTACGCTCTAAGAAACCCCAGCTCATCCTCAGTCTACAGCAAGCCCGCAAGAGAGGACATGGCCGTTTCCAAGGCATCTTTGTGGGAGCAGCTACCTGTAATGTCTACTTCTTATTCCTAATTCTGACCATGAAGGTCACATGTAACATGTCTAATTTATTTACCTTCACCCTAGCCTGGTCACAAATGGGTAGGCACCCCTGGAGGCTCTATGAGGTTCCTGAATGGTTCCTCAGGAAAAGTTCCTCAGGCCTGGCTCCTGACTTATTCTCATCTGAAAGTTTAGGACCGACCCCAACGTGTGCTCCCCCCACGTGTGCTCCCCCACGTGTGCTCCCCCCACGTGTGCTCCCCCCGACGTGTGCTCCCCCCGTGTGCTCCCCCCACGTGTGCTCCCCCCGACGTGTGCTCCCCCCACGTGTGCTCCCCCCACGTGTGCTCCCCCCGTGTGCTCCCCCCACGTGTGCTCCCCCACGTGTGCTCCCCCACGTGTGCTCCCCCCGACGTGTGCTCCCCCCACGTGTGCTCCCCCACGTGTGCTCCCCCCGACGTGTGCTCCCCCCGACGTGTGCTCCCCCCACGTGTGCTCCCCCACGTGTGCTCCCCCACGTGTGCTCCCCCCGACGTGTGCTCCCCCCACGTGTGCTCCCCCCGTGTGCTCCCCCCCACGTGTGCTCCCCCCGACGTGTGCTCCCCCCCGACGTGTGCTCCTCCCACGTGTGCTCCCCCACGTGTGCTCCCCCACGTGTGCTCCCCCCACGTGTGCTCCCCCCACGTGTGCTCCCCCCACGTGTGCTCCCCCCACGTGTGCTCCCCCCACGTGTGCTCCCCCCACGTGTGCTCCCCCCACGTGTGCTCCCCCATGTGTGCTCCCCCATGTGTGCTCCCCCACGTGTGCTCCCCCGATGTGTGCTCCCCCCACGTGTGCTCCCCCCACGTGTGCTCCCCCCTGACGTGTGCTCCCCCCACGTGTGCTCCCCCAGTGTGCTCCCCCCACGTGTGCTCCCCCCCACGTGTGCTCCCCGGATGTGTGCTCCCCCACGTGTGCTCCTCCCTGCTCGTCCGGCCGCAGCTAAGACAGTGGGTTGGCCTGAGTAGGGGCTGAACTCGTGTCCGCCCCATTTCTTCTGTGGTGAACCTCTCCAGCTGCAGACAGTTCTGGGTTTGCATCGGAACCAAATGTGTTTGCTGGTCTTGCTGATGCGCACCTTCTACGTCCTCATCTGAGGCAGCACAGACATGGTGAACAGGAAGGGGCAAGGGCAGTATTGTCCAGAGTGCGCCTTCCGTGCGGACCCAGCCCTGCAGCCACTGCCCTTTGAGTCTGAAGAGCCTGATGAGGGATGCGATGAGGGAAAAGCAGGCATGCCTGGCTAATCTGGTTTTGCCTTTTAGGAGCTTTTTGTGTCTTTCAATAAGTTTTTTTTTTTTTTTTTTTTTTTTTTTTTAACTTCTATAAGCTTCAGTTTCCTTACCCACAAATCAGAGAACATGCTAGAACCTAGACTACAAGATTAAATGAGACAATGACTGTGGTTCAGCCATTAAGAGAGAGTTGAAATGCTTGGGTTTGTAATAAATGTATAGTGTTGATATAAGCAGGCACAAAGCAAGGCCATGTTTCTTTGTTTAAAGACAATTTAATAGAAGTGTCACAATGGGAGCTCAGTAATTATTTTGAGATGTAGGCGGCACCGGAAGTTAGGCAGCATACATAGCGCTTAGGTGTCACTTGCTCTAAGTCTCATTCCTGTCTTTGATGTCTCCCCATACTCCCCGCATGTCGCCAGTTTATAAGTCATTTCTATTGTGGTTGTTTCTGCTGCTGGCCAGGGGTCTCCTTATCTCTGTTTGTTTAGCCACTCTGAGCTTTGAAAATGCCCTCTCCGTTAACACCCGGCAGTCCTCACTTTCCCTGCAGGAGGCTGAAGTCACTGGCACGAACCTGACCTGCCTGCTCCTTACACTGCACTTTTTCTGACTCCATCCTCAGCAGGAAGACCTTTCCCTTCCCCTCCCAGATCACTAAATCCTGTTTCTTTAAGGTCCCCAGCTGTTTGCAAGCTAATTTCACTCCACAACCTGTTTATGTTTGGCGTGTGAGCAGAGAATGGCTTTTGCATTTTTAAGGATTATTTAAGAAGATAAATAACAATAAAGGACAGAGAGACAGTGGCCAGAAAAACTGCAAATACCAACCACCTGGCTTGTTATAGAAAAGTCTGCCCATCTTGTTTTGGAATCCTGTCCATCAATTATCCCTTCTCCCCTCCATGCATATTACTCATCAAACACCCGTTAAACCTCTAGTGTGTGCTGGATGCTATTCTAAGGACTGCAGACGACCTTTTGTTAGGGAAACGTTTCTACATTCTGACAGTGATAAGTACTATGAAGAAAAACTAGCACAGTGGATCGGGATGAGGAGAACAGGCAGGCCAGAGGGGTAGAGGATGCTGCACGGGTTGTATAGGTAAGCACCAGACCGTTGTCCCAAAGGCCTGGCAGGCAGCTACTGCCCAGAGGAGAAAAGCTCACACACAGCACAGGCTAAGGTGGGCGGCCTGTCCACTCTTTACTTCTACTGTGGACGCACAGAGGCAAGTGTGCGCTCCTAAGTCTTTGTATCTTTAGTTTCCTTGCAAAACTTTCAAAGGTTTTACCCCCCCCCCACACACACACCTATATATCTCTTCACACACCATCATCAGAAGTCCGTTTTCTTCCCTAGACACTCTTACATGATAAAGTCTGTTTTCTGCCCATATGCCCCTAACTTCTGATTGCCAGATCTCGGGTCTCTGCTTGTCATGGCTAAGTTGGTTCTGAACAACTGAAACCTCCTTCTCAACCTTAATATTACCAGGGCAACAATGACCTGGGGCAGATCAAGCTGTTTTCCCCAAAACTTCAGTTTACGTGTTTTGTTTGTTTGTTTGTTTTGGTTTTACGAGACAGGGTTTCTCTGAATAGTTTGGGAGCCTGTCCAGGCACTTGCTCTGTAGACCAGGCTGGCCTCGAACTCACAGAGTTCTGCCTGCCTGTGCCCCCCGAGTGCTGGGATTGAAGGCGTGCGCCACCCTTCCCCCAGCCAGGTTATGGGTTTTGTTTTCTGTGGTTCTCCTGCTCATTCCTAATCTCAGCTGCCTCCCGAGGCTCTGCCACGTTTACTTTCATTCTCTCTCTACCAGAATCCTCCTTATTAACCTTCAATTGAAACGGTGAAATCCAGAACCGTGCCTCCTTCTGAAAGGAACCTGTAGGCTATGGGCACTCTCCGGTTCTCCCTGGGCTCTGGTGCCCGATGCAGTACCTGGTCTCTTTCTGGTCAGCCGTACACTCAGCTACACCAGCAACATCATTCATCTTCCTACTCTACACACGCGACTCTTCCCTCCCCGGGGACCCTCATACCCTTTGGCCTTTGAGTGGACAAGGCTATAGGCAATGACATTCTCCTCCAGCCCTGTCCCCGACTTACCCTTCAAGGTTAAAAAATATATATCGTATTATTTGAGAACTTTATGTAGTGTATTTTGATACTATACAGTAACACTCTAGAAACATCTCCCAACAGTCCCTGACTTCTCACCCCAAACAGCCTGTCACAGAGC